ACTAGGTCTTGTGTACACTCCCTCCCTGTACACTAGGTCTTGTGTACACTCCCTCCCTGTACACTAGGTCTTGTGTACACTCCCTTGATGCACACTAGGTCTTGTGTACACTCTTTCCCTGTACACTAGGTCTTGTGTACACTCGATTCCCTGTACACTAGGTCTTGTGTACACTCTTTCCCTGTACACTAGGTCTTGTGTACTCAGCAGCGGTGCGCTTGATGGCAGAACAACCTTTCAGTAGACCACCATCATCCTGCCAAGGGAATGGAGTGACCCACCAGCTGTTGCATGTTAAGTACCAGATCAACAGCACCTGCCCCCATCCCCCCTCCCCGGACCCCACCCGAGCAAAAAAGCTCGGAATGTAATTATGCCGATTATATATATATATATATATATATATATATATATATATATATATATATATATATATATATATATATATATATATATATATATATATATATATATGATAATCATAACACAGAGTTGATTCCCTTAAGTATTATTTCTCAGGAGATAACATCAAGTAAGCAGGTAATATACACGTTCACTGGTCAAGACTTTTACCAAGACCATCCTAAAAATGGCCGTCTTATAAACCCACAAATAACGTTACTATCACGGCCTCTGTAAGGTCGAGGTCCCCGCCACACAGTGTAGAAGTTACGACCTGAGTGTTGGTGGTGGTGATCACTTTATGACCCCCGCTGACCGCCACCCCTCACCACCACACATTAAGTAATAAAAAGAAAAAATCACAAAAGCAGTAAAACTATAGACGAAAAAACTATATTCCAACAAAACTCCGAATGATTGAAACTTAAACAAGTGAAAGGAAAGAGGAGGATGCAGGAGATGACTAATGAATCGTGTTATAACTGTCTTAACTAACGAAGCTTCGAGAAGAAAAGTTTTCACTGAGATTACCTGTGAATAGAGAGGAGAGCCCCCCTGAGCGAGGACACCGTCACCTGTCCTCCTGATGGCAGTGATCGAGGCGGTGTTTAGTGCAGGTAGTGAAGGTGATGATGACCCAGAGACACACCACCTGCTTGACCGCCACCCTCCGGCCCCTGACGAAGACCTGGAGCTCAGAAGGAATGTCTCTTGCCTTCCTTATATTTAACTTAATTCCTTTAGGATATCTACATTAACTTGGAACACTTGCTAGATGTTTCCGGCGCTACAGTACAGGAGGCCTCAGTGATGATAAGAGAGTCCCGTGCTCTCTGTAGTGGTATAAACAGTTGAAAGAAAGAGTAAAATTATCTGTTGCGTGTGTGTGTGTGTGGCCAGCAGGACTTTGCATTCAGAATGCAAATATCACCAAGTAAAATCTTCAATAACATGGATGGAACCTTTGTATATTAAACACAAATATATATTATTATATATTTCTTTATTCTCAAAGATTTTTTATTTACTAATTGTTGATACTGAAGAAGGCGATGATCATTAGTAAAATAATAAAATAAAGTGCATTTGCAGGGTTACGTGTTACTCCGGTGAAGTAAGTCCCAGGTGTTATCACTGACCTGTCGACACCGTTGTTGTATACGAGGTGATAATGATAAGAGAGAGAGAGAGAATGAACCTGGACAATCCCGCCTCTACCCAAGGGAAGGCCTCAACCTCCTGCAGACTCAAACATTCCTAAACTTTTAATTTCTCCTAACTGTCGTAGATGAGTTGTGATACAGAATTTCAGTGTAATTTCGAAGGTATTTTTGTTCTGATCTCCGTGTCGTAGCTGGAGTTAGGCAGGAATATGGTTTGTCCAATATATCAGCTTGAGGAGAAAAATATTTAACGGAGGAACGTTTGAGAATCCGAAGTCCAGGTGAAGAAGAGGGAGAGCAGATGCCACAGACACCAGATGAAGAGATGTGAGCTGGTGTTAGGAGACAGATATGACGGTTGTAAACATCTTGCTGACCGCACCTCTCTCTCTCTCTCTCTCTCTCTCTCTCTCTCTCTCTCTCTCTCTCTCTCTCTCTCGGCTACACCCCGTATCTTGCATCAATCATCTTGTAATTCACAAAGTAATGTTGAGTGTGGGCCTCTACCCTCCCATGATCTGCGCCCCACCCATGTCTCTACTACTCTCAGTGACCAGCCAACGCTCTAATGACCATTCCTGGCCCCTATGATCCATAATCTCACCTCAATTACGTTTTCAAATCACCCGTAGCAAGGACGGCGGCCCGGCTCGATGTTTCTAGATTTGTGAATTGTTTGTGTGTCTTTTGATGTTGTCTTTTCAGCGTTGCTTCAAGGATTTCTGCTTGAAAGCAATAAAGAATAAATATCACTTTACTTGAGGTTTTTCTCTGTAGTTTCCTAAGTGCCTGTAAGGTGGTGTTAGTACATTATATTTACCGCTCAGAGAGAAAGACAAGTGCGACGAATATGTAACCCCTGAAGCGAGTCATAAACAAACGACACGTTACTGAGGCTCCCACTAGACCCTCGGGACGCGGCCGTAGAGACCCGCCCGATGATTATGGCTTAAAAGGCAAACACACGCAGACATGGAGACCCGAGTCGGATGTGGCATTGCCAGGTTATCGGTAGGTCGGGCGGGTCCTGAAGTGGGTGTCTCACCATGGGCAGTCGATCCGTACGTCTCCAAACATCAGACCGACAGTAGGATTTTCTCCTGGTGGTGGTGTGGCGATGTGTGTCATGTTTATCTCTTGTCTCCTTGGTGTTGTGTTGTGTTGTGTCTAGGACGTAGTGTGTGTGGACGTCACCAGTAAGGGTGTCTTGCCAAGGGCAAGTTTCTTGTATATAATTATTCTGATTTTGCTCCGGTGATATGTGGCAATATTTATTCAGTACTTATAAAATTTATTTTGTAAAAAAAAATATGTAAATTTGTCCTTAAGAAGTAGTTTAAAATAATGAAATATTATGTTTGTACTGTATTATTATTTTTGAGTAAATATTAGAATCTTACAAAGTTTCCCCTGTTAAGTATTATTTAGTAAAGTGTGTGTGGTGCAAATTGTCAGAGTTGACAAATAATGTTGAAGACAAAAGATGTCTCGTACAACGGTGTTGATATGAGGTTAACTTCTGTGAACTTTACAAATGTTGTTGATCAAAGTGTGAAACTTATTATTGTTACAATATTAAACATTAACAAACAACACAAAATAAAGTGCACGAGAAATACAATATATGAGCGTAGGTCACAGCTGTGTGATAACTATTAATATTATATGAATTCATCTTATCAGTCATACTAAAGAGACGGCGACCAATTGTAAGGTTTTCGGCAGATACTGGATAACTACATGGATCTGTCTCTCATAACTTTTATCGTTTGAACTAGTGTATTACCAACCTTGCTACGCGCTGAAAGACCTTCCTTGTTAAAGCTCAACATAACAACAACCGGATAACCAGGCTTGAGGACTTTTATAAATTCACTTTAACGAAATATATATAAAAGCTATGAAATAAATAAAGTGAAGACGACATGAACTGAAATACATGATAACATATGTAAATGAAAACTGTAGAAAGTCAGGCAAGGTCAGAAGCGTGGACACAGCCGACACCAGAAAGAGATTGGAGGCCTTTAAAATGTGGTGTCAAAGGCGAATGGTAAGAATATGATACACTAACAGGAAAACAAATGAAGAAACATTATAATTAGTAAAAACTTCAAGATAAACTTGAGGATAGGGGGGGCTAGGGGAAGGCAGAGACTGGGGTGGATGAATGAAATTAAAAACTGGGTCCTCAGAGAGATACATAAATATAGAGGATTGGTGAAACAGCTCGAGAACATTTATGGTGGAGGACTGTGGTCGACAACCCTCAGATATGAAGACGGTACTCCGATTGATTGATATACAGTCACGTAAAATGAATGCCCTGGTGTTAAATGTTTATATATATTAAAATACAGGTATTCGTTTTCGAGGACACTTGATACAGTCAAATTATTATTATAACTCTACGGGCCTCCTCAGCCACAGTTGCCCAGCGCTGTGTAGTGATGTCTGCACACTGTTAACTCAGCCAGCTAGGCCTCGTGAGCCCGCAGTGTGTCAGTAGTGAGGCGGACGACATACACCTGCAACCATCACATTACCTGGGCTTAAAATATGAAAGGATATTGTTGTTTTTACCTGTGTGTGGCAGTATGTGTATGAATGTATATCTATATTTATGTGTGTGTGGGTGTGTGTGTGTGTGTGTGTGTGTGTGTGTGTGTGTGTGTGTGTGTGTGTGTGTGTGTGTGTGTTCTTTTGGGCTGAAAAATATTTTTGTTCAAAATCTCCGTATCGTTAGTATTCGACAGCTGATTAAAGATCTGTGGTAAAAAAATTAATTTTGATAATCACTTGTGATAATGTCCTGGAAAATGTACATTAGTTTTGCCATGCCACTAAAAATAATTTGTTTTGCAACATTAATTACTCGGCAGCTGTGATTTTTCCCTACCGATTTTTTGTGCTTTTGTGTTTTCCTGAATGTTCTACAAGTAGCTAAATGCGTTAATTTCCAGTTTTAAAATAAGAGTACTTTCCGCCTAAAACCAAAGCACTAAGGGGTTAGCCTTACAGCTTATGCAGAAAAAATAATTTTGCTCAAACTCTCAGGATCTACAGTATACTTTAGGACGTAGACCTCGAGAATGCTGAGTATGGATCTGTGGTCACAAAGTTCATTTTTTATATATAATTGTAATATCATATCAATAAATCATTAGTTTTACAACGCTAATTATATATTAAATAATTTTGTGATATGAAGTGCTTGGCACCTTGGATTTTTTATAGCTATTTTTTGTTTGTTTTATTCTGGGTGTTCTAAAGTGGTTAAGCACATTACTATAGTACTATACTTTCCAATTTTAAATGAAAAAGCATTTTTCCGCCCAAACTTTCCTTTTGGCCGAAAAACACCATTTTTTTCTCACTTTTGGAAATAACGTGTTTAATCCAACGTTTTGACCTATAACATGGCTGTGTCCACAGGGAGTCGAGAGGCGGCGTACGCGTATGCAGTGGCCAGTGCTGGGGTGACGTACAGCGTGACGGCGTCCTGTGCCCGCGGTAATATCTCCACCTGCGGTTGCGACGACCGCAAGCGGGGTCGCTACAGCGCCTCCGGCTGGAAGTGGGGTGGCTGCAGCGCCGACATCAAGTGAGTCACAAGACAATGGTGGTAATTACCAGAGACGCTGATGCTCCCTCCCTTACTCACTCTCCTTCCCTCCCTCACTCCACCTTTCTCACCCCCTCTCCTCTCCCTCCTCCCCCTCCTCTCCCTCACTCCCCCTCTCCCTCACTCCCCCTCTCTTCTACGCTCCCTCAATCCCCTTCCCTCCTACCCACCTTTCCTCACCCTCCCTTCTTCCCTCCCTCCCTTATATCACAAAGTATCAGGTATTCGTATCAGGTATTCACAGCGGGTATTACAAGGTACAGTACCACATAGCAGCTTAATACACAGTTCTGGATCCAAATAAATACTCGAGTAATTCTTAACTATCTAATGAACAGTTACATTGCTTTAATAAGAAATAACTAAGAACGCATGCAGTATAGGTCTAGATGGCCTATGGTCCAGATCCACATGGTCCAGGTCCAGGTTTAGATGGTCTTGGTCTAAATGGCCCAGGTCCAAGTCTAGATGGCCCATGGTCAAGGTCTAGATGGTTCAAGTTTAGATGGTTTAGGTTGAGATAATCCTAGTCTAAATGGTCCATGTCTAGATGGCCCATGGTCCAGGTATAGAGAGTCCAGATCCAGATTCAGATGGTCCAGGTTCAGATGGTCCCGGTTAAGGTGGTCCAGATCTAAATGGTCCAGGCTGAGATGTTCCTGGTCTAAATGGTCCAGGTTCAGATGGTCCAGGTCTAGATGGTCCAGGTGGTCCAGGTTTCGGTCCAGGTTTCGGTCCAGGCTCAGGTGGTCAAGGGACTAACACTGGCCTCTCCCTCAGCTTCGGCATCAAGTTCGCGAGGAAGTTTGTGGACGCCCGGGAGGTGGAGGGAGACGCCCGCGCCCTTATGAACCTACACAACAACAACGCCGGCAGGAGGGTGAGTCAGGGCCATGGGGGAGGAGGGTGAGTCAGGGCCATGGGGGAGGGTGAGTCCAGGTCATGGGGGAGGGTGAAGTCAAGGCCATGGGGGGAGGGTGAGATCAGGAAGCCCTGGAGGGAGGAGGGTGAGATCAAGGCCTGGAGGAGGAGGGTGATCAAGGCTCTGGGGCGAGGAGGGTGAATCAGGGGCTATGGGGGAGGAGGGTGAGTCAGGGCCGTGGGAGAGAGAGAGAGATATGGTTACTGTCCTTATACAGTATAAGGAGCCCCACAAGGAAGGGCAAAAGGTCATCGGGGACGAGTTTAAGGTTTAGGAGTCAGTGTAGTGAGAGTATAAGGTTTAGGGGTCAGTGTAAGGCAGAGTATAAGGTTTAGGGGTCAGTGTAAGGCAGAGTATAAGGTTTAGGGGTCAGTGTAAGGAGAGTATAAGGTTTAGGGGTCAGTGTAGGGAGGTATAAGGTTTAGGGGTCGTGTGAGGAGAGTAGAAGATTTAGGGGGTCAGTGTAAGGAGAGTATAAGGTTTAGGGGTCCAGTGTGGTGAAATTATAAGGTTTAGGGGTCAGTGTAGTGAGAGTAGAAGATTTAGGGGTCAGTGTAAGGAGAGTATAAGGTTTAGGAGTCAGTGTAGGGAGAGTAGAAGATTTAGGGGTCAATGTAATGAGAGTATAAGGTTTAGGGGTCAGTGTAAGGAGAGTATAAGGTTTAGGAGTCAGTGTAGGGAGAGTAGAAGATTTAGGGGTCAGTGTAAGGAGAGTATAAGGTTTAGGGGTCAGTGTAGTGAGAGTAGAAGATTTAGGGGTCAGTGTAAGGAGAGTATAGAGGTCTGTAGAGTAAGATTTGGGGTCAGTGTAAGGAGAGTATAAGGTTTAGGGGTCAAGGTTTAGGGGTCAGTGTAGGAGAGTATAAGGTTTGGGGTCAGTGTAGGAAGTTAAGGGAGGTCAGTGTAAGGAGTATAAGGTTTAGGGGTCAGTGTGAAGTAGGTTTGGAGTCAGTGTAAGGAGAGTATAAGGTTTAGGGTCAGTGTAGGGAGAGTAGTAGAGGAGGTATAAGGTTTAGGGGTCAGTGTAAGGCGAGTATAAGGTTTAGGAGTCAGTAGGGGTCAGTGTAAGGCGAGTATAAGGTTTAGGAGTCAGTGTAGGAGGTATTTAGGAGTCAGTTAAGAGTATAAGGTTTCAGTGTAGGGAGAGTAGAAGATTTAGGAGTCAGTGTAAGGCGAGTATAAGGTTTAGGGGTCAGTGTAAGGCAGTATAAGGTTTAGGAGTCAGTGTAGGGAAGTATAAGGTTTAGGGGTCAGTGTAAGGCGAGTATAAGGTTTAGAGTCAGTGTAGGGAGAGTAGAAGATTTAGGAGTCAGTGTAAGGCGAGTATAAGGTTTAGGAGACAGTGTAGGGAGAGTAGAAGATTTAGGAGTCAGTGTAAGGCGAGTATAAGGTTTAGGGGTCAGTTTAAGGCGAGTATAAGGTTTAGGAGTCAGTGTAATGAGAGTATAAGGTTTAGGGGTCAGTGTAATGAGAGTATAAGGTTTAGGAGTCAGTGTAAGGAGAGTATAAGGTTTAGGAGTCAGTGTAATGAGAGTATAAGATTTAGGGGTCAGTGTAATGAGAGTATAAGGTTTAGGGGTCAGTGTAAGGAGAGTATAAGGTTTAGGAGTCAGTGTAGGGAGAGTAGAAGATTTTGGAGTCAGTGTAAGGCAAAGTATAAGTGACAGGTTTAGAGAGAGAGAGAGAGAGAGAGAGAGAGAGAGATATATAATCTTTACTAACTGTCGTCCATCCTCCCGTAGGCGGTGAAGAAAACGCTGAAGACAGAGTGTAAGTGTCACGGGGTATCTGGTTCCTGTACCATGAAGACGTGCTGGAAAACGCTGCCACCCTTCACCAATATCGGCCGACACCTCCTGAAGAAGTACAACAAAGCCAAGCCCGTCATCGTCCACAGGGTAGGTGGTGCTCGGGGTGTCACGGAGTAGGTGGTGCTCGGGGTAGGTGGTGCTCAGGGTGTCACGGAGTAGGTGGTGCTCAGGGTAGGTGGTGCTCAGGGGTGTCACAGGTAGGTGGTGCTCAGGGTAGGTGGTGCTCAGGGTGTGTCTGGGTGGGTGGTGCTCAGGGTGTCACAGGTGGTGATCAGGTGGTGCTCAGGGTGTCTGGGGTGGGTGGTGCTCAGGGGTGTCTGGAGTAGGTGGTGCTCAGGGTGCAGGTGGTGCTCAGGGTGGGTGGTGCTCAGGGTGTCTCAGGGTGGGTGGTGCTCAGGGTGTCACAGGGTAGGTGGTGCTCAGGGTGTTAAAGGGTAGGTGGTGCTCAGGGTGTCACAGGGTAGGTGGTGCTCAGGGTAGGTGGTGCTCAGGGTAGGTGGTGCTCAGGGTATCAAAGGGAAGTTAGGTTGGCTCTACGGCAAGATGCAGGTACATCAGTGAACAGTAATCATCTGCCCTGTTATTTTCTGCCCACTGTTCCTTCGTGAATCAGAGTACAATGTTAATCTGGTCACTAACTCAATATATCGCGATTAGAAAAAAAATTAAAGTGAAAATGTCGATTAAACCTATGTTTTTATTACCCCCTGAGTGCCAACAGTGTGTGGTGGTGAATTAAGTCTACTCATTCCCAGTGGAGGATTTGGACACAAGAAGGTACTCACTGGTTTTGTGAATTAAGTCTAAATCAGTAGTTTCTCCATCTTCTTAACGTATTTGTATCATGAGGTCCTCCCTGGCACACGTTCCTCTATCTCTATCTCTCAACAGAGTCGTAGGAGATCCTCGCCCTACTTACGGCTGCGAAGGACCAAGAGACGGGCCCGGCGACCACGCAAGTCTCACCTGGTGTACCTGGAAAAGAGCCCTAACTACTGTGACATGAACCTGGCCACGGGCTCGTTGGGCACGGTGGGCCGGCGCTGCAACAGAACATCCAGAGGTAAGGAGGCGCGGGGTTATACACGGTGGTCAGGGGTTACAGATGGACTTCTCTGTTGTGTAGCCTCAGGTCCTTCTCTTTACTGCCAGGTCTCTCTTTGTATAATTACAGGTCCCTGTTTATACTTTCAGGTCCCTTACATACTACCTGGTCTTTTTGTGTACCCTCAGGTCCCTTTTGTGTACTGTCAGGACCGTTGTGTTCACTCACTGTATTGTTTCTAGTGTTGCTCTTTTTACTGATTTATATATCCTATTATAAGTGTGTCTATGTACTGACTAGTGACTTAATTACTTTCGACCTCATGACTGGTGTGTCATTGTAAAATCACTAAAAATGTTTTAATATAGTGTACTGGTCAACTGTTCTCTTCACTATGTCTAGGACGAGTGATTTACTCCCTCTCTTTCTCTCTCTCCTTCAGGTGGTGATGGGTGCGACTTGTTGTGTTGTGGGCGCGGCTACAACACTCACCAGTACACCCGCAAGTGGCAGTGTAACTGCAAGTTCTACTGGTGCTGCTACGTCCATTGTCACACCTGCCAGGAGGAGACAGAGGAATACACCTGCAAGTGATCACAACCCCAACGGGGAACACACACACCAAGAGTTCGTTTGTCAGCGTCACACGTTGTACATGAAACAATGTGTAGTTCACTCGTGGTTTTAAAGTGTGATGTGATACTGTGAAAAAGTTCATATGCCAAAAAAACATCAACTAATGCTTCTAACTTTGACATTAGTATTAATATCTACGTGATAAAAATGTGATAACTTAGAATTCTTCATAAGATTCTTAGCAGTGACTTAGAACTGTCCACGACGGAGAAGTGAACGTTCTCTCTAAGCTTATAATCGTGTTTATTTTTTACAACAAATTATTTGCTATATTCTGAGCTTATATCTACCTACTGAAACCTTCAGCTGTTGCGATAATAAGACTAGCTAGCCGAACAATTAAATGCAAAGCAGTTTTTTCCAGCAACTACCGTACTGTCGTTGTCTCATGATTTATATGTTAAATCTGAGTTGCCAGTGAGGTGCTTAGTCATAGATTATATTTCTTCATTTTCCTTCTTTCTTTAGTGCTGTGTTTATAACATAATCAAACGCCAAATATGCTTATAATATGTACCACAAACAGTAAGCACAATATTCCTTAAATGAACATAGGAGTTATTTGTATTTTTTATTTAAACTATCAGTCAGACTGACTTTGAGTAATGCATCGTTGTACTGTATTTGGATCCCTGGCTTCGGGGTCAACTGAGCTTCCACTAGTACAGGTATGTGGATTATTTTCATTAGTGTCTCATTTATGTACATATGCCATTCATTGCTTTTTTATTTGGTAGTTAATGTATGCATGAATAGTCATTATTAAGCCAAATATATATATATTTTGTGACCATAATTCCTTAAGAAAAGTTACCCTGGAAACATTCGTTTTCTATATTAGTTTAGAGAATATTTTATGGGTGACTGTTCCCAAGAGACCACAACTTACCCTATATACAGTATAGTATAATTTATATTAAAGCGACAGTGAATGGGAAAATAAATATAACTAATTTATAAAACCTCTATATTAAAAGAAAAACTAAATGCTGAAATCAAAATGAGTATAATGATAAATTTTCGTTATGAATTTGGCAATGATTGACCAACTGTGTGTAAAGAACAAATCGACCGCCTAATAAAGTGACAATTGGCGAAGATAATAAATAAGTAAATAAACTATCATAAAAGTTCATTTTATTTAGTCATGTCACAAAAACTGATAATGCCAGGATGGAAATTTACCTGTACTCTGAAGGGTCATACTGTTTTAATAAAAACAATAATAAATCTTGAAAGTAAATTCTAATTGTAGCAATAAACCTTTGTCAGTTCTATTGTATACAGCTTCCTACACCAAGAAACTTGTCTTTGCGTCATGTAACAACGCGATCATTGGGTGAAAACAAACATTTGATGTGGTAAGGTAGTACATACAACAGCTCTAGATACAGATTATCAGAAGCTGGCTTAAGGAACAGTCCTCCCAACTAAAGACGTGAGGATGCATCTAGTTGGTTGAATTGAACTAAAAATACGTAAAAATAGCATAATAATTACACCAAGTCTCAACCATCACTGGACACCAGTCAGGGTATGAACTTATCAAGTACTGTACTTCCAGAATAAAACAAAAACGCAAAAGAGACACCCTCAAAAATAATAGGTGGCGAGTAATTAGCGTTAGAAAAACTAACTAAAATTTCCAAGTCATTAGCACAAGTAATTACCCAAGAATGTTTTTTTTTTTACCTTACCTACCTAATGGCCACCTATGCCGAGGGAAGGAGGCTAGTGGTGCCTGTAAGATCCCTCTTCCTGTACCCTGACTACTTTGCCACTTCTGATCTTTAGTTGAACATTTCATTATTGTGGGTCACTGCGTAGCTTTCATTTTTTCCCTGAGCTCTTTGCCGTTATTTTGGTTGGCGAATTGTCTGTTCGTGGGTTATGTAAACATTACTATACTCTGGTACTCACTTGAGGTTCTGTGCCTTCTTTAAGATATCCCTCCTGTACTCGTGTTTGGGATGGCGGTCCTCACTAACTGCCCTGTGTGTTTACTAAGTCTTTCCACATTCATGAAGTGCAACTCGTCTACAAAGTCAAACACATTTCTCAGCATCTGTTTGACTGATTGTTCGCCTGCCTCTCCAAGTTATTTGTAATAAGGTTTATCCCTGCGTTTGTTTCTCTCTATTTGTCCACACATCTCATCTCGAAGATTTGGTATTACATTAACTCTAACTGTCACATTATCAATCTGCTCCAAGATTTTCTGTAGGTTGTGTAATTCTGCCTGCATTGAATTCTGGGGATCTGCCATTTTCTGCTTAAGTTTATCTTGTTCTTTATCAAACTTGTCTGTCTTGCTTTCATGCTCCCCTACAGTCTTAAATAACTCCTTTACTTGTTCCATGCATTCTGTGCAAGGAAACATGGCAGATTTATTGTCAGAAACTGAGATGCATTTGTAAGGCGCTCAAACTATCCAAGCAGGAGCGAACTCGTAGCAATGGTTGTAAATTATACAAATTTAGATTTAGGCGCGAGATAGGTAAACACTGGTTTGGAAATAGAGTAGTGGACGAGTGGAACAAGTTACCAAACATCATTATCAACTTGACTACGTTGGGTAGCTTCTAATATAGGTTGGACGGATATATGAACAGGAATAGTCCAAGTGACATTGTATGAGCGTCAAGCAAAGTGTCCTACGGGCATCACCTGAGAGGCATTTAGCATTTCTCTAGTTAAACACAGTGGAGATGGTTCATTCCCACTTAGTACCTTTTTGAGCTTTCTTTTTGGTCCAAATAATATTGGTGCTAGTTACTTCACTTGCTTTCGAACGCTTATTTTGAGTTCACAAAGCTTGTAAATGGAACAATAAAATTTATGCACTGTTCACTTAGTGTTAATGTTCCACGGTACAACTTTCACTGTCAGCATTGTTGTAATATAGTAAGAATTCACGACTTGTTGACCTGGTGGTGACCTGTGATGCTCTTGTTACCAGCAGGTCAATAATTGTCTCTCATTCACTATTCCGTTTCTTTTGTATACTACTGTGAGTTGGTCTTGGTTTTCCTTCACTTCATTACCCGGTGTGTCTATGATGGGTAGCTCACGGTCACCACTAATAAATATCTCTGGTTGAGTTGCTCTCCTTTTCACTCTTATTTCCCTCGCCTGGCGGCCTACAAGGCAACTGTCACTTAGCCGTTGGACGTTTCACTCAAACTAATGAAGTTTATATTTTCCCTCAATTATGACGTAACGTGGCAGTAACTTTGGTGATATTATTGGATCATTGTCTGAGGCTTAAAGTTCCTTGCATGAAATATCTTGAAAGACTTTTTTTTTTTAGAGCCCGGCACGGCGCGCTACACCACACACCCTTAATCAGCGTGTTCAGTAGTACCTATATTGATATTCTGAAATAAAAATAATTCGAAATTACCCAGGTTACGGTTGAACCGTTCGATATTTTGGCCAGAAAACTATTTTTCTCTAAGAATTTGAATTTAAGATGTGTTTAACTACATTTGGTAGACTAATTTTGATTCTAATTTTATATTATTTTATTTTTTAACTTCAGTCAACCAGTTAGGTGCATTCTTACAACTTCAGTATACGAGGAATATTAATCTTACGAACCTTTGATAATTGCCCTGCAGTGTATGGCTCTAGATGTACAGTAGTTTGGGAGTCACTGTGAACGCCGCCGATGTGTCCCTTTATTTTATATGAAGACTTATTTAAAATAGCGGCATCCTTTACGAGTGTATAGAAAATTTTCAGCATTTTTATTTTTATATTTTTTTTAAATTTCATCCTCTGAATCTTATCTCAGTAATAAGTAACAGTTCCCCAAGGTTTAATACTCAGTCATCAATTCTGTAGTTTTGTACATTCTAGGGCAGTCATAACCAATATTAGTTCACAGTTTCATACCAGCAGTCATCTTCACAAACCTCTTTATACAGAAGCCCAAAGGAATGTTAACAGAGAAGAATTTCACGGGTCGGCACAACTTAAGGACTTTATCTCAAGCTGTAAGGAACTAGAGTTGTAACAATTACCCCTTAATGGTGCAAAAAAAATAAACTTGAAATTCTAACCAAATAATCCAAGGATGCACATAAAGAATCTATAAACTTTCATTGTTCTATGTTGAATATTTTTTTGTGTGACACTTGCAGACAAAAGTTGGATTGGACGAATGGCCAAACAGATACAAATCACAAACAATGTCTCCTTAATGCCTCGTGGAAGAATAAAAATTGTCTATACAGGTACAAAAAAACATGTTTCCTATAACCATGACTGACTTAAATTTTACCAGAGAAGTGTGATTGACTTCTGCCTTGGCGTATTTGTGAAACTCAATTGAAGCTGCCAGAGTAATGATCAAGTAGTCATACACAGTACTGTATATCTAAATATTCAAAGTCAATGTTGGGGTTACAGATATCCAAGAACAATAAATAAACGCTCATATTTTAACAGACATCACAGCTTGGGATCACCATCTACTCCTACATATGTAACTAATACATTTTAACTACAAATATTCCACAAAACAAAGATACAAGCTCAAGTGTTTCTTTTCACCCATTACCTGACGTTTCCCGCTACGATGTCCCGCCGATTCTGTGAATGTAATTCATTATTCATTTGTTTCTTAATATAATTTACAGTATGACGGATCCCAATTTAATTAATTGCTATATAAACGCTTCTGCTTGTACCCGCGATAGCAACAATTGGTAATTTCCCAGTTCGCTTGTAGTAGTGGAAGTGGCCAAAGCCATCATAATTCTTCCCACACATTACAGTTTTGCGAAGCATAATTATGTAGTGACGTTAACTTAGAGATACGTTGCTTATGATTTAAACAACCAACGAGAATATTTTGATATTATGGCAGTAGTCCCATTTGTGACGATTAATGTGCATCAAAATTATTCACTGCAGGTAACAAAGGCTAGGCTGATCACGGTCTACACAGATGTTTCAGATTTGATAAATTGGCGAGAAAACTAGAGTGAAGGTTGATGACCATTCAGTGGAATCCTGATACATTTTGTAATTCATCTCGTGAATAAAGTTTTATTTTCATCCTCTGATTCATTTATTTACCCCCTCTCCCACACACACGCAGCAATGTGCAGTGTTACTCTTATATTTTATCATCAGTGCTTCAACCAGCAACTGAAATAAGAGAATTATGAACACTAACAGCAGAGCCGGATTAAACGCTGTGGGGCCCTAGGTTAAGCAAGTAGTGGGGCCCTGGTCATCAAAACACCATTATCAAATCGCATACTAGTGTTATACGGAAATATATCAACTCCAAGATTTTGCCCTTTATTCCTACACAGGTAGATAGCTTCATACAGTTTTTATCGAGTCACCATGAGTCTGCCAAAATGTCTTTTTTTTCTGCAAAATTTTTGAGATGTTTGCGAGTTAGTGACCCTGAATTTATTGAAGAGGAACTGCAACACATTCAGTTCATTGCACAAAAACTTGGCTACTCTTCATTGTTTGTTGATCGTTGTCTTAAAAGGGCTAAACAAATAATTTTATTGTACTCAAACTAGACAAGTTCCTACATTTAAGGATATTTTAACTACCTTATCTCAATGAATTTGTCCCGTTAGGTCAATCCCTTAAATTACTATTACTAGTATGTTAATAAAGAACATCCCAACATTGAATGTACAGTAAATGGAAGTGTTTACTGTATTCCATGTATAAATGTTAATGGAAATTATGTAGGTCAGACTGGGAAAGCATTACAACTTAGAATAAAACAAAACAAGTACAATATTAAAACAGCATCTAAAAGTGTAACGGTCACACTGGTATATGAAGTAAAAACCCACATTGGAGAAATAAAAGGCAAAATCTTGGCGTTGATATATTTCCGTCCAACAAGCAGGGAGAACACTTACCTGTCACCTGCGTTGATGAAGGCTGAGGATTAGGGATAATCTTCATGATGACCGTATTCAGGATCAGGGTCAACTGACCATATATGCCAGGTTAAAGTTGGATATAGAATTTAAAGATGAGGATTCAAAAAAAATTCTACTGAAGCTACAATTGGACTTATTACGGAAGTATTATTCTCAATCTAATACTTGACCTTCATTTTGTACAAGGTTGAAGGTAGTAGAGTTCACCTGTCCGTATCTTACATCACGATTATATTCAATTATTCTAGTACTTAAATTACGGCCAGTTTTACCAATATAAACTTTGTTACATTGTTTACAAGGAATTTTATACACCGCCGGAACACCTGGAGACAGTCTTTGGTACACGTTGATAAGGTTTCTCCGGTGTTGTTGAGGAAGCTGATAATTATTTTCTTTTCATCTTGTTCTACAATATTTTGATTCTTCAATGAAGATGATGTAGTCTTATTGTAAGGAAGTTTTATATATTTTGGGTTTATTTTTGATAAAGTTGGATTTAACAGATTAAAGCTTAACGTAAGAACTAATCGATTGCCTTAAATACGAGTCGGTAAACTGTTCAACCACTTTAACATCTTACTGGAACGTGAAACTCTACTTGATATTATGGGTCTTGAAGGATCTGCGCGAGTCTCAGGGAGCTCGTAAAAATATGGGAGAGTCGAATACGTACACGTGGGGGGACAAAGACCTACTAGTAATACGGACACGTGGGGGGACAAAGACCTACTAGTAATACGGACACGTGGGGGGGACACAGACCTACTAGTAATACGGACACGTGGGGGACACAGACCTACTAGTAATACGGACACGTGGGGGGACACAGACCTGGGACACGTGGGGGAACACAGACCTACTAGTAATACGGACACGTGGGGGACACAGACCTACTAGTAATACGGACACGTGGGGGGGGGACACCTACTAGTAATACGGACACGTGGGGGACACAGACCTACTAGTAATACGGACCACGTGGGGGGACACAGACCTACTAGTAATACGGGACACGTGGGGGACACAGACCTACTAGTAATACGGGACACGTGGGGGGACAAAGACCTACTAGTAATACGGACACGTGGGGGGACACAGACCTACTACTAACAGTAATACGGACACGTGGGGGGGACACAGACTCACAGTAATACTGGGACACGTGGGGGGACCTACTAGTACGATACTAGTAATACGGACACGTGGGGGACAGACCTACTAACACGACACAGACCTACGTGGGTGACAGACTACTAGTACATACACGGACACGTGGGGGACAGACCTACTAGTAATACGGACACAGGTGGGGGGACAGAACCCTACTAGTAATACGGACACGTGGGGGGACACAGACCTACTAGTACATGGACACGTGGGGGGGACACAGACCTACTAGTAATACACACACGTGGGGGACAGACACACTACTAGGGGACACGTGGGGGGGACAAGTAATATGGACACGTGGGGGACACAGACCTACTAGTAATACGGACACGTGGGGGGACACAGACCTACTAGGGGACAGACCTACTAGTAATACGGACACGTGGGGGACACAGACCTACTAGTAATATGGACACGTGGGGGGACAGACCTACTAGTAATACGGACACGTGGGGGACACAGACCTACTAGTAATACGACACGTGGGGGGACACAGACCTACTAGTAATACGGACACGTGGGGGACAGACTCATACTAATACGGGACACGTGGGGGACAGACCCATTAGTAATACGGACACAGACTAGTAATATGGACACGTGGGGGGACAGAATACCTGGGGGACAGTAATACTAGTAACATGACACGTGGGGACACAGACCTACTAGTAATGGGACGGACACGGGGGGGGACACAGACCTACTAGTAATACGGTAACATGTGGAGGGACACAGACCTACTAATATACAGACACGTGGGGACACAGACTACTAGTAATACGGACACGTGGAGGGACACAGACCTACTAGTAATACAGACACGGGGGACATGGCATCTACTAGTACTGGGGACACGTGGGGGACAGACCTACTAGAATACGGACACGTGGGGGGACACAGACCTACTAATAATACGGACACGTGGGGGACACGCTTTAAACCTACTAATAATACGGACACGTGGGGGGGGGACACTAGCACTTAATAAATAACTTGAATGGAAAAATAAAGTTGTTTTATTTGAACCTACGAGTATATAATGTGTCATGGGGGTTACTTGTTTATTACATATTTGCTTTTATATTTTTTTGTATTATTTATCCCAACAGTACATCTACTTAATGTTATTGTAGTTAATAATTTACATTCTTGTACTTGGTATTTTTCATGTAATTTATAATGCCGGCCAAAACTAAATTTATTTTGTCACAATGTTAAATTTAGTGAACAATCGTGTCTCAATGTATACCTTTTGTGTACTATGATCACGAGACAACAGGGAAGCCGAGTAGCCTGTCGTCATGGTCTGAGTTAGATATTGCTTCCATTATTGTGAATTTTGCTTTGAATAAGTAATATTTTTAGGTTTATTACGAGTCTTGCACTATAAATAAATAAATAATTTATATTAGTTTAACTGTTCTATTCATTTGCAGTGTCATTATTTTACAGTAAACAACAATATAGTCGCTGCTACATGACCTGATATTGGTATAGAGAACAACACATCAGGTATAAACATGGGTGAGACGTTTATTACTCTTTATAACGAACGGCACATAACACTGTAGTGGCTACAACCTGTAAGAGTATACATACATAAACAAGTTTCTTCGTTACGGACGTCCTAATAATGGCCAAAATACTGTAAACACCGTACCCATGTTCCCAACGCCTATTGTTGTCAGTTTAAATGGAATGTTGAAAAACCTTTAATGCTCCTGAAAACAGTGGTAATGAGTCATTCTACGAGACTTCTAAGAATTTTGAGACTTACTGAGATTTTGTGTGTTAATATCGTTTAGAATATATTTATTGGCGATCTGCAAACACTGGAACGATGCAACGTAGAAAATTATGAAGTTGTCTTTACATTGCTGTGATGGACCATGGCAGACGAGATTACCTGAGAGACTTGAACGAACAGGTGAGTGAAAGTTTATACTTGTGATAGACTACTGTGTGGCTGTCAACCACATCCTGTACACCACGAAGATAACGGAAAACCAGCTTTTTAAAGTGAGACAGATTGTATAAGTATGGAAACACAGAAGAAGGCAGGAGGTACCATAACGGGTTATTCTCGTGTGACCGACATCCACAGAGAAACGTTGGGCACTGCGGGCAAAACGAGTTACAAGCCCACGGCCTTGCCGGCGGTACACAGGATGCCAAATCCACCGAACATTGCCCGTTAAAGTACCTGTAAAAGAGAGGGAGAGCGAAGCAACATTGCGGCGAAGAGAAAGGGAAGATTGTCGACTAAAGGAGGAGAGTTAATAAGACGAAATGCCTTTGATTCCACCCTATCTAACAGTTGGACAGAAGAAGAGCCACCCTAGATATGAGGTGTCTCGCCACTTGGTCAACTTTGAAGGCTTTTTTCTCCGCTTAATGAAATAACTTTGCGGAAATACATTTAAATCAGATTTTATGCCCAAGGATTGTTTCTTAAAACACCCAACAACCGTCAACCAGTCTCGGCATACCGGTTTGAGTCCTAGCAGCAGCACAGGGAGGAAACAAACGCAGATTGATTTTTATCCCTCTGTGTGTCTGACAAACACAGGCTTCTGGTACAACCTTCTTACCACTAATGTCATTTCCCATCACGAACGACACTGCATCCACAAGCAGAGTATCCTTCACCCTTACAGTGACAAATTCACTCGGGTATAACCTACAAAGTGGAATCGGCTGCTTATGGTTAACTCCCTACAAGAGAATACTTTCCTGCCAAAACCTTCTACAGAAAAGGATCACTACTTGTCAGTACCAAACCACAGGCAGATGCAGTATCCCTCAACACACGCACAGGAGTACTCTGTTAACTCCAATATCGACTAATCCTTCAAACACGAAATGTTCAGATATCTCAACCTTTTATCTCTGCTGTTTCCGGGGTTACCACCCATAGGGCTGCACGTCATCACACTTTATTTCACTTTATCCTGCTTTAATGAT